GTTTTGATGCATTAATCCAAAAACCAATCAATTCATCCATCAAAACACAGTGCCAATATGATCAAACAGCAGTACTTGGAGCCCTCAAATCGTAAGATTCGGACAGCGGACTAGGCTCCAAGTACCCAAATAAATATTCCAACCGATACAAAGCACCCCCCCCCCACACTTAAGCACGACATTGCCCTCAATGGAGTAGAGGGAAAGATAAGGGGAACGATGTTACCGGATTGGAACACTGCTGGGGGACTGGAAGTGGACCAGTCAGCGAGACTAGCATCAGCAAAACACACTAGGTGATAGAAACCATAGTTCCAAGTGGACAAACCGACAAAAACAAACGAAAGAAAAACAAACCTTGGTGGGGTTGCCTCCCCACAAGCGCTTCTTTTACGTCTTAGCCAGACGGCGGCTCCTAAGTTTCGGTCCACCCCAAAACCTCCTTGAAGTTGAGGTTCTCATTAATCAGGTGGAGTCTCAAGTCACGAGCATGTGATGTGATAGGTGATGAAGATGGCTCGTGGCCGTGAGGAAGATGAAGTCTCCACTCTCGAGACCTCTCCTTCGCGTCTGCTCTTGTCTCATTGCCCCAAACCAGATAAGATATATTCGATTGACCACCATCGTGTCCACCAAGAGGGATTGATGTTGATGTGGTCTTAGTCGGGCAAAGAGACACTGCAAATGGGTCCTTGCCAAGCAGCTCCTCGAAGTTTGGTGGAGATATCACATGTAACATAGGCCCGGTGCAAGCCTCTTCCACCTCAACTTCATCCTCAGCCTGGATGCCAATTGCTTCCACAACCCCCCTTCGTTCTTCAAAATGTGGTCTCTCCCCTTGGAAAAGATCAAGAACTACCTCTTCTTTACTTTCTTCCTCATCCTCCACAACTTTCTTCCTCATCCTTGCTCGCTCTTCTTCTTCTAGAACAGATTGGAGAGCAAGTCGCCAAGCAATTTCTTCAATGGGATCATCTTGCATCTCCTCGCACAGGCCCAACATGCTAGAGAATAAATGAGGAACGGTGTGATCTGCCACCAGAGGAATTTCCCGATCATGATCATTATGGGAGTTCTCTGTGATAACTTCTGTAGGCTCCTCAACACCCCCGCTGCCCTTGTCATCCTCTGCCTCTTCTAGCGTAGTAGCAGAAAGGTGATCTTGAGCAGGATGTGAGCAAATTTGCTTCACCCACTCTGTTTGCTTCGCTGAGCGCTGAACAGCCTGCTCCATGTCATGGAGAAATGAGGGATCGGAAGAGGCAAGGGCTTGGATTTGAAGATCCATCCTGGAGCATGCTCTCTCAGTGTCTCGAGCAAACTGCTCCACGAGAAGCCTTAATTGTTTGTTTGGATCTTCCAGTGCAGTGTAGCATGGCTCTGCAGAGTGGCCCGCGAAGGTCTCCATGGCTAAATCCAACTCAGATGGCCCCTCTGGTTGTGGCAGGAACTCTTCTTGAAAAGGGTATTGTTCTTGAGGTTCCCAAGGGTTTGGTTGTTCTCCATAGTAGGGGGGTTGGTACTGACATCCGACTCCATAGTCTTCTCCTCCTTGATTGCTCCATGAGGTCTCGGGGTAATACCACACGGATGGTGGTTGATACCCCCAATGGCTGGAGAAGCCATTAGGATCCATGTTTCAGAGCTGCACCAACAAAAACATAACACCCAAGTGAAAAGCAAGGGTGGAAAAGAAAAGAAAGTGCAATAAATAAAAAGCTAGAGTAACAAATTCTCACGTTTCCCCAATAACCTAGAGGGTCCCCGGCAACGGCGCCAAAAACTTGACACGCCAAAACACAACACCAAGCTCGATTCGGAAGATCCGACAGTAGCTTGGAATCTCTTAAGCTGACCAAGCCCTCTCAGTCCAACTACCCGGCAGACGACTAGTCTTCACCGGGATAGAAAGCTGAGGCTATGAACACAGAACTCCACTACTGGCGCCGAGAACACCAGTACAAAGCAGTAAACTGGCTAACTCTCGTATAGCCAATCTCCTACTATCGAATGAAGAAGCTCTAACAACCTAATCAGATTCTATCTATCTCAGGTTGCAGCAGAAATTGAGAAAAGCTGATCAGACTCCAATCAATTCAATAAACATGCGTCATTCGATTAAAATCAAACAGTAATATCATCCCAAGTCATTACAATCAAATCCCTAACACAAGGAACTAGGGTTCTTCATACCCAAGTGAGAGAAGGGTTCTACTCCATAGAGAGAGGAGAAAACAGTAATCGGATTAGTCATACTCATAACGATGAGGAAAATTTGCTCCGGGACGATGATTTCCACTCCTATGACGATCTCCAAGCTCGATTCGTTGAAATCCAGCTCTAAGACAGCTTCTAGGATGTGTTCTTCGTACTTTCTCTCTCTAGCGCTATGTTTTTGCTCTGAAAACACGACTCTCCCACTTTTGGCTCGGAATAGGCTCTAAAACCAGGATTTCCCGACTCGCATGGCCAGGGTGCACGGCCGTGCAGATCACCCACTTGGCCGTGCGGCTCAAAACGCGGCGCATCCATTAATCTCAGCCATCTCACACGGCCAGGGTTGCACGGCCGTGTCACAATCATGGTTTGCCCGTGCGTGCTCCCGCATAATCCCGCACGGCCATCTTGCTCACTTGCACGGCCGTGCGCCTCCCTGGTCTGCCCGTGCATGCTCTCGCATATTCCCGCACGGCCTGAATTGTCCTTCACACGGCCGTGCGGTGCCATGGTCTGCCCGTGCAGCTTCCTTGAAACCTCGCCATTCGTCCGATCTTCATCCAATCGACCCCAGACTCGCTCCCAAGCCTTCATTCACGTACTAGGACCTGAAATATCACAAACAAGCACAACCTAAAACACGAGAATCAACACCTCAAACGGTGTAAGAACGAGGGTTAAAACATGTGTAAATATCGGTCTATCAAGTGGCCAGCGGGTTAATCTAGCAAAATCAGCAGTGGTGTTCTCTAAAAATACCACAACGCAAGAGGCGACGCAATTTGGGAACACGCTGCAAGTTGGTGCCTGGGACACGTGATCAATACCTTGGCCTTCTTTCCATCATCCATCGTTCAAAGCGGGATACTTTTCGATTTATTGAGGAAGCGATTGCTAAACGTCTCCAAGGTTGGAAACGACGTTGTTTATCGCTAGCAGGATTGGAAGTTCTTATTAAATCAGTCGTGTCGGCCCTACCTATTTATGCTATGTCATGTTTTCGACTTCCAAAGGAGCTCTGTCGGGATTTAAATCGTATGATTGCACGGTTTTAGTGGGGTCAACAAGGGACTGAAAGACGTTTGCCTTGGGTATCTTGGAGAAATCTGTGTACACCAAAAGGGGATGGTGGTTTGGGCTTCCAGGATTTTGATGCTTTTCATCAAGCGCTACTTGCCAAGCAATGCCGGCGCATTTTACAAGATCCCAATTCTCTAGTTGCGCGGGTCTTAAAAGGACGATACTTTCATCATACGAGTTTCTTGAATGCCCGTGTGAGTTCTAATTCATCTTGGGCATGTCAATCACTTCTTCATGGCCGGGCATTGCTAAGCCGTGGTTTGCGTTGGGAGGCTGGTTTTGGTTCTTCAATTGATGCTTTGACGGATCCTTGGGTTCCATCTCTCCGAAGTTTTCGACCAATAGTGCTGCCCACTGCAGATCGGTCCCCTCGATTACTCTCCTATTCATCTCTCCCATTCATCGTTCTTGGGACCATCACCGACTTGGAGAGTTCTTCACGCAGGATTCCATTTAAGAGTATCATTTTCATACCTTTGCCATGGATCTTTTGCCCGGATAAATTAATTTGGCATTTTGATCCACATGGTTTATTTACGGTTAAGTCAGCTTATCGGTTAGCGACTATTTTGCCTCCAGTTTCAAGGGCTCGTGGTACTGTGGACCAGGCTTCTCCTCTTGATCCTACTTTATGGCCTCGACTTTGGGGTCTTCCTCTTGCTCCCAAATTGAAGTTTTTCCTTTGGCGGATTTTACTAAGAATCCTTCCGGTTAGGGAGGATCTTGCCCTACATGGGGTGCAGGTAGAAGATTGTTGCCCTGTTTGTGGTTCAGATGAGGGCGTATCGCTGGAACATTTATTCCTTGCGTGTCGTGCGGCGGTAGCTTTCTGTCAACAGTGTGGCTTACAATTGCCTCCGGGCATTTTTTCAAACACACATTTGTCCATCTTTTTAAGACACATCATTCTCAACTCCGATCATGCCACCATAATAAATTGGGTCGTCTATCTTTGGCGGATTTGAAAGGGCGGAATAATGTTGTCTTTCCACCCTATGCACAATTTACCACTGCTTCTTTGTAACGTCACATATTATCTCATCATGCCTCTCATCAAATTGCCATCCTTCCCACTCAGTCGCCTCCCCCGCCACCCAGACCTCAGTCACATCCTCATTCGACGCTTCAATCTACTTTCCGCATTGCAGTTGATGGGGCGACCAGTGCTCCGACTCATGGCGCAATTGGCGTGGTGGGTTTTGATCACAATGTGCCAGTTTTTGCAATGGGTGGTTTCTTCCCAGGCCTTTTTCATCCTAAGATCATGGAGGTGTTGGCAATTAGAGAAGCTCTATTATTACTTCGACAATGGCAGTGGCAGGATCGACCAGTCGTGATCACAAGTGATGCTCTTGCAGTTTTTCAACATTTGATGGCTTCTGATGCCAACGATGCCCTTGTGGGGTCTATCTTACGAGAAGTCATCTTTATGTTACAAGAACTGCCGCTAGTCTCTGTTGCTTTTACTCCTAGAGAAGCGAATCGAGCTGCCCATGTTGTGGCCCATGCTTTGACTATCATTTCACGAAGAAGTCGTTGTATTGTGGCTATCTCATGCTTAACTAGTTAATCCGCAAGGGTTTCTATGACAAAAAAAAGGCATAATCTAACACCAACAGCAAGATTAACACAAACAAGCAAGCAAGCGAGTTACTAAATTTCGGCCCCATCGCCGCTTGAGCGAAATTTGGCATTCTGGTAACCACCGCCGCGCACTGCCCTTCCTCTAACCTAGCCACCGCTTCATCATTCCCAAATTGCGCCGCCGTTACTTTCTCCACCGTCAACAGCTTGGAAGAAGATCCCTTTACTTCCATCAATTCTGCCCCAACTGACCCTCAGGAGGCCGCTTTCGGAGCCGGCAACACGGAGGTAATTGTCCACGCGGTGGAGATTCGCCGAAAGCCGCGCTGCCACCGCTGGCTTAGATCCAGGTGCCAACATGCGTCGTTCGCCGCCATCCTCAACGGAGAAAATCAGTAGCTCCCCGTTTTAAAACAAACAAAAGAAGTTCCCGTCTCTGTAGCCGATGCCGATGCAATCCAATTCTCCGCGGCCGCCGAATTTATAACACCTCCACAGACGCTGGCCAGGGCGGAGGGTGCTGAATCGACGAGGGGGGTGAACCACCATGATCATTTTTCCTATTAAATATTATATGTATGTAAATTTTTAGTTAGATCATGTGTTTTGAAATCCTTAGCATTCTAAATATTTTTTCTTCTTCTTCTTCTTCTTATAATTGTTTGATGTATCATATAGTTTGGAGAAAACATTTATAGTTGCAACCTGTTTGTACCGACTAGCTACGGATCGAACAATGATATTTGTTGCTGTGGGGTTGACTCACGATCCGTTCGTCTGATCTCGTCGGGAGGGAAGAAACCTGTGAAAAAGACCGAGGATGCCCCCCGGATTGAGCTCCAACGATCAAGTCAGTGTATGTTTGTGGAGAGAGTTGAGAGAATAGATAGAGAAGTAAAGTGTAGAGAGATAGTAGAAAGTGGAAAGTGAGGAGAGAGAGGAAGTCCCCTTCTTTGGGGGGCTTCAAGCCCTTATATACCTGTGCACGTATCGCGCGTCGCGCATCGCCGATTGTGTGCCCTACTACTTAGTTTGTGAACGGAGTATTTAGTAACACCCCCAACAATTGCCCCCCAAGCTGGTGGTGAGTCTTAACTCATCACTAGCTTATTATTTTTTTTTAAATCTTCGTCGGTAATTTTGGGTGGAGCTTTATGTACTCCAGTTGCCTCCCAGCTAGTGGCGCGTTTGACTGACGCGGTGCCAGCTTCTTGCGTCTTGCCCCCCAGTTGGTGTATTTTATTAAGGCGTGTAGCCTTCACCCATTGTAGATTCTTCATGGAGCTCTCCTCGTCGGGGTTTTTTAACCCTCAGTTTGGAGTTCTCCTCGTCGGGGTTTCTAACCCTCAGTTTGGAGCTCTCCTCGTCGGGGTTTTTAACCCTCAGCTTGGAGTCTTCAAGGCAATGTGCCCTCTCCTCGTCGGGGCTTTTAACCCTCAGTTTGGAGCTCTACTCGTCGGGGTTTTTAACCCTCAGTTTGGAGTCTTCAAGGCAGTGGCGGCAGGAGTAGTTGAAAACCAGACGCTGCGCCAATGAAACACAATGAAGGCTTGTAGCCTGCCGGCCAACTTGTTTGCCTTGCTTAATGATTGCGCGGGTTCAAATCTTGGTGGCAACAATATTATTTTTGACTCGAGTGGAGCGATGATGGACCGCTAGTTGGGGTGACCGCGATGTTGGGCTTGGCGGGAGACGAAACGAAGCTGGTCCGGGGAAAGGAGTTGGAGCCGATCCGCGAGTTGGGCCCTGGGCCCACGTGTGCTAGTTGTGCGGGCCGTGCAGCAAAGTTTGAGGCGGAGCGGGACTGGTGGTGTGTCGTTGGGCCGCGAGATGGATAGTGGGCTTGCGTCGACGCGGTTCGGTGACAGGTGGGCTGGACGTGAAGCGGACCGCGAGTTGGAGTTGGACAGGTCCGCGCTGGATGGCGGATGAGAGTTAAATAAGAGTGTTGCGCCTAAAGGTCACAACGTTATTGTGTAGTCTATTGGTGAGCGTGCATAATGCAAAGAACTGGCGCGAGTTCAACTACGGGCGGCGACTGTTATTTTTTATATGAGCTCAGCGCTATAGTCGTCGGGCTTTGCTGTCTGGCGCGAGTCAAGCACAGAAGTCGCAGCGGGCCTGTAGAAGAGGATCGCGTTCGGGCTCCATGGGCCGAAACTGCTGGCAGGCCCATGTGATGCGGTGCTGCTATGGCGCAGACTAGGGCGGTGGCCTGGTGGAGTGATGTTGAGAGGGCCGCGACTTGGACGGACGGTGAGGTGGACTGGGGCCACGTTGTCTTGCGGGGCGGGAGACTGATCTGATCGGCCCAGGCGCGAGTGCGGGCCGCGATTTGGGCTTGGCGATCAGCGAGTTAATTGGATCGTAATCGAGGACTTGGGCCGCGAGTAGAGGGTGTGAGCGAGCCAACTGTAAAGCTTGGAGCGTGTCATCGAGCCTACGTTGCGCGGTACTGGATTGGAGCCGACAGCCAATCCGCGAATTGAGAGGAGCGCGAGCAGGAAGCAATGCGGGCCGCGAGAGGATTGTTGAGGCGGAAGGCTGGCCTGGGCCTGGGCCCCGTGCGAATTGGCCTATGGAGGCGGGTTCATTGGATGGTTTGAAGCGGGCCGCGATTTGCGATGCTGTCTGTGGGTTGGTAGCGGCGGAGCGAGCCCACTCGAAAGGCTTGATAAAAGGTCGCCCGTAGACAATTACTTCTTTTTTTTTTTTCAATGAAAGGTTTTGTGTGTATAAAGCGGAGCTTCTTCTTCCTGCTCATAAGTCATTACCGCGCGGAGAGCTTCCGCGAGACCATCTTGGGAACTGTGCCCATATGCTTTTTCTGACAAAGAATGCAAGTGGCCATAGGAGAGAAGTATTGTCAATAGTCTCTTATTTCTTGATTTGCGGCCCCTCGATCTGATTTTACGAACAAGTTGGCAGAAGGTGATGATAGATGATGTTGACTGCGGCCGACTCTTCTTTTCGTCGTCGGAGCTCCGGTCAAAGGAGGGCCGCCTCCGGCGGCGGCGGGGAACGTTACCCCCATTAGGGTTCCTAGTGTGGTGCTCCGGTGGGAGTATCAACGTCACTGTGGTGCCTTCTTGCAGTTTCCAGGTTGGGTCGGCGATGGCGACCAAAAAAATAAATAAATCTCCAACCTGTTGTCGTTGCTCGTAGTGGCGGGGGAAGTCGATTCCCTGTTTGAGTGGAGTGGAGAATGTAATGTCGTGTCCCTGAGTAGCGGCGAAAAGTAGAAGGGTCCGACAAATGGTTACGGCCGGAGAAGAAGTTGAAAGCTCGCCGGCGTGAGGGACTTTGGCTCTTCTTGTTCTTTCATTATTCTTTTTTTTTTCAGATCTGGAACTTCTTTGCCCATCTTGATAGTTGATGTTGTAGCAGCTACCTTGCTTTTCTTTCTTGAGCTAATTTTGACGATGCTTCAGTTGGTGAATCATCTTCTTAATTTGCTCATGCTTTTAGGTTTCTTGTTTGGCTTCTGCGATCTCGGATTTGGAAATCCCCTTCCTTCTTGCGTCTCCCATCGATCGAAAATCAAGGCAACGAATGTGAAATCAGGCCCCACGGTGGGCGCCAATTGTTTGTACCGACTAGCTCCGGATCGAACAATGATATTTGTTGGTGTGTGGTTGACTCACGATCCGTTCGTCTTATCTCATCGGGAGGGAAGAAACCTGTGAAAAAGACCGGGGATGCCCCCCGGATTGAGCTCCAACGATCAAGTCAGTGTTTGTTTGTGGAGAGAGTTGAGAGAATAGATAGAGAGGTAAAGTGTAGAGAGATAGTAGAAAGTGGAAAGTGAGGAGAGAGAGGAAGTCCCCTCCTTTGGGGGGCTTCAAGCCCTTATATATCTGTGCGCGTATCGCGCATCGCGCATCGCCGATTGTGTGCCCTACTACTTAGTCTGTGAACGGAGTATTTAGTAACAACCCCAACACAACCTTTTCACAATAACTCTATTTTCATCATCATCGTTCATGTGAAAAAATTACAGCTCACCACTTAGTAAATTGATATTTATTTATATAAATCATTTATGTGGTGAAAATCTCTATAAGTATTTTGGTGATCTAAAAACGTAACTTTTAAACTTTAAAGTATAGTTTTTTTACTACAATTATAAGTGAAAAACGCGATTCTAATTAGAACCGTTTTGGTAACCTAAAAGTGTAAAAGCGTATTCTTTTTTCTTAAGTTTTAAATCGTGATTTTAACCACATTGATATCAAGATTTTCATACGTGTTAATTTTTATATTAATTTATTATATTTATGTATGACAATTATGACTCAGAAACGAACGGGATTTTACGTAGTTTATTAAAATAGAAATCATAACTTATAATTAGGACTTGTAATAAATTGAAAATTCGAAATGGAATTTGATGAAGGCAGGCAATAGTGCCTTTCTCGCCGAAATCCGAGGAGCAGCCAGTCCCTCAACTCTCTTCATTATTAGTTGCATTCATAGCTCGGTTCTTGGGAGAAAAACTTTGTCGAGGATAAAGTAGGCACAGAGTCACGGTTCGTGAGAGAAATCATTGTCTTCTCCAATGTCATCGTCGTCCATAGCCCTCCTAATGTACTCTTGTGCAGGGATGGACACTTGAACCTCACACAACAACTCGTCACGTGGATTCTTCCTTGGTTGCATGACTGTTTGTATAGTTTTGGCCAGACTCGAAAAATGGGGAAGAGTAACAAAAGGAACTAGAGTGAAAGAGAATGGGATGATTGTTTTGATTCTCATCCCAAACCCATCCCACGTTGTCTCTCTCTCAAACTAAAATCACGTGCTCACGATCATAGAAAATACTTCTTACCAAAAATGCCCCTTCCCGCTAAACCACTATCGAATTTAAGAAAAGAAAAACGAAAGGATATAAAAGGAGTTATCAAGTGCTAACCTCGTTCATGATATTGATATGGCTTGGAAGGTTGGATGTCGTGTTCTGAAGATCGAATCTGATTCTCAATTGGCCATTCAGCTCATCAGTGATAGACATGATCAAGTGCATCCTTATGCGACCCTTCTTCCAGCTATTCGGAGAAAACTAAGCGAAGATTGGTTGGTTAGCATTGCTCATACATATCGAAAAGGGAATAGAGTTGTGGACTGGCTCTCAAAGCACAATCTCGTCT